TCCTCCTCCCCCTCCCCCTCCTCCTCCTCTTCTTCCTCCTCCTCCTCCTCCTCCTCCTCCTCCTCCTCCTGCTCCTGCTCCTGCTCCTGCTCATGCTCCTGCTCATGCTCCTCCTCCTCCTCCTCCTCCTCCTCCTCCTCCTCCTCCTCCTCCTCCTCCTCCTCCTCCTCCCTTGGATTCCCTTATGAATAACCCCTCCCTGTCGCACTCCGAGGCCCGTCGAAAGAGCGGGCCTCGCGTTTCTCCTGAGACTTCCTCACCGCTTATGGCCCTGAAACTCAAAACACTGACAACAATTTCACAGATCAAGAGCGGGTGGTTTTCAAAATGTGGCTCTCGAGCGCCGCGCAAATTCGTTTTAGATATTTGCAAGAATTTCGCGCATTGAAAGCGGGCCGTTTTCAAAATGTGGTCCTCGCCTGAGCGCCGCGCACACTCGTCTTAAACATGTGCAAGAGCTTCACGGATTGAGGGCGGTTCGTGTTCAACATGTGGCTCTCGCCCCAGCGCCGCGCACATTCGGCTTAGAAACATGCAAGCGCTTCATGGATTGAGGGCGGCTCGTTTTCATAATGTTGCTCTCGCCTTAGCGCCAAACATTTGCAACAGTCTCACGGATTATCATGGCCAGCGGGCCAGATATTATGTGTTGGACGGATTCAGGAGTGTGCGGATGCGACAATTACGTTGATTCGAGGTGTTGAGGACCCAGGAAGTCCCAGGAATGTGGCGTTCTGGTACAATTCAGGATCATCAAGACGGAACAGTCAGGTTGATCCGTGGCGTTGGGGTCCCGAGAATGGTGTTTTGGCATGCTTCAGGGACTTCAAACGGTGGTCAATTCCCTTTGTGGAAATGAACCGTTGTAGGGGCCTATGAAGACGGAGCTTGGAGGGAGGGTTGATTCCAACATCGTTGATGAGTCTTGGGTTTACAGTGGTCCTCCTCCTCATCATCATCCTCCTTCTCCCCCTCCTACTCCCCCTCCTTCTCCTCCTCGATCCTCCATGCTCCATCCTCCATCTCCTCCTCCTCCTCCACCTCCTCCTCCTCCACCTCCTCCTCGCTGTTCTCCCCCACCCCCATCGGAGCCTGGGCGAGGGAGGACTGAAAGCGCGGATGCTGCATCAGCGCGTTCAGGACCTCCTTGGCCGCCGCGGCCGCGGGGCGAGGCGGAGGCTGACGATCCCGAAGATCGGGGCTTGGGCTTCGAGCTTCGAGTGGGGAAACTAAAAGGTACCGATACCGACACTCCCCAGACCTCTCCTGGGGTGCATTCTGACCAGGATTCCGAGGCGAATCCAGCGGTGGCGACGAGGGCCTCCCAGGAGGCCCCCAAAAGGGTAAAACCCGCGGGGGGGGGAGAAGTATGGGTACCCTTTTCCTCCTCCGATCGAGGATCGAGGCTTTCCGGGACGAGCGAACCAGCCCTTCCTGTACAAGCCATCGCTTCTATAGCGACGGCGCCCCCCGGCCGCGGACCGGCTCCCCGACCTGGACCTGCGGAGGAGCCCGAAGACCAGAGCCCCTCCTGGGGGCTCGAGGTGGTCCTGGAGTCGAGCAGGAGGAGGAGGCGGAGGAGGAGGAGGAGGAGGAGGAGGAGGAGGAGGAGGAGGAGGAGGAGGAGGAGGGGGGAGGAGGCAGGAGGCGGAGGAGGAGGAGGAGGGAGGAGGGGAGGAGGAGGAGGAGGGGGAGGAGGAGGAGGAGGAGGAGGAGGGGGAGGAGGGAGGAGGAGGAGGAGGAGGAGGAGGAGAGGGAGGAGGGAGGAGGCAGGATGGGGGAGGGGAGAGGAGGAGGAGTGAGGAGGAGGAGGAGGAGAGGAGGAGGAGGAGGAGGAGGAGGAGGAGGAGGAGGGGGAGGAGGGGGAGGAGGGGGAGGAGGAGGAGGGGGCTGTGCCTCTGGAAGCCTCCATGGGGGCATCTGGAGAGGCCTCCGTGAACCTCCGGAGGCCTCTGGCGACCTCACGGGGGCTCCTGGAGCCGCGGGGCGCGGGCCACCCCCCAGCGGAGCCGACTCGCGAACCCAAGTCAGGACCACGACGGTCAGCTTCTCGATTTCCCTAGCAGCGGCAAGGAATGAGCCTAGCGAAGGACCAAACCAAATGCAGCTGCGGGTACCGCAAGACAGGTGGAAATCGAGGGAAGGGGCTGGCAAACGGGCTACGGCGTGGGTGGGAATAACGGAGCGACGTTGTTGATGAGGTCGCAGACATCGGCCGTAACGGGTTACATCACGATGCAACCCGTTTCGGCTGATCTGCGCGTCTGCCGGCGCGGCCCAGGGGGGCACCATGCGGCGGGCCCTTCGGTGGAACTATGGGACTACGAAGTGTGTGAGGGGTGCCGAAATGGGCGCGGTTACGTGTGCGACTCCTGACACTGGAACTTTCGGTGGAGGTCCCTATGGGGCCACGCCCTGTGTGAACCTGTATGCCCGAATCGGCTCGGTCAAGCATGCGATTCCTTGGGTTTTCGGTGGAGCCCCCTGATGTGGCCACGAAGCGCGTGGGGGGTGGGCCGAAATCATGTGGACCAGTCGTCCGAACGCAGCCACTGGGGCCTTAGGTGGAACTCCCGATGGGGCCGCGAAACGTGCGAGGGGGCAAAAACGATGTGGAAAAGGCATGCGGGCGCAATCACTGGGGCCTCAGGTGGAATTCCCCATGGGGCCGCGAAGCGTGCGAGAGGCGCGCCGAAATACGACGGAAACGGTATGCGAACGCAGCCACTGGGGCCTCCAGTGGAGCGAACTCCTCCTCCTCCTCCTCCTCCTCCTCCTCCTCCTCCTCCTCCTCCTCCTCCTCCTCCTCCTCCTCCCGGCCGCGAAGGCAGAGGAGGGGAGCCAGGGGGAGGAGCGCACAGGGCACGAGAGAGAGAGAGAGAGAGAGCCGGCAGGAGAGGCCCCGGCGAGGCGGCGGCCGCGGCCGCCGGTGGGGCGCACCGGGCACCTCACACGAGCGACAGGCCCCGGCGGCGCGCCGAGGGAGGAGCGGGAGGGGGCAGGGCCTCCTCGGAGGGCGGCGGGGCTTCTCGGAGGCGGAGGAGGAGGAGGAAGAGGAGGAGGAGGAGGAGGAAGAGGAGGCGGAGGAGGGAGGCGGGAGGAGGAGGAGGCGGAGTTGAGGAGGCGGAGGAGGGGAAGAGGAGGACCGCGGGGGGAGGAGGAGGAGGAGGAGGAGGAGTGGGAGCGGAGGCGGAGGAGGAGGAGGAGCTGAGATGAGCCTCCTGAGAAGGCCCGCCCCCTCTGCCTTGCCCCCTGGGCGCGCCGCCGGTGGTCGAGGTCTGGACTGGTTGGGACCCCAGAACATCTGTCAGGAGGGAGGGGATGCAGCCAAATCCGCTCAGAATCAGTCCTCGGACCCCTCCCGGAGGAGGAGGAGGAGGAGGAGGAGGAGGAGGAGGAGGAGGAGGAGGAGGAGGAGGAGGGGGCATCTTGGGAGCCTCTGGGGACACGCGAGGAAGAGAGGGGCGACGACGGCAGGGAGGGCGGCGGCGAGGTGGCCGCGACGCGGCAGCGAGGCGGAGGGCCCCGACGCGCACGGGCTTCCTCTGGAACCGCGTCCTCGGCGGCCTGCTCCGAGATGTCCCCGAAGACCTCCCGCAGCTCCGCGGGCGTCGTCTCCTCACGGGAGGGGGGCCGATGGGGACGGAGCTGGACGAGAGAGGACCGTGCAAAGGACATCGATTCTGGCTGGGCCCACCCTGAGCCTAGAGGATGAGTCCGCCTCCTCCTCCTCCTCCTCCTCCTCCAACTCCTCCTCCTCCTCCTCCCCAGGATCGGTGCCAGGCCCGTCCTGGGGCCAGGAAGGCGCCTCAGGGTCCTCCCAGGTGGGACCCCCAGCAGATGGAGTCAGAGGATCGCGTCGCATCGGCGACGCCAGCGTGGAGAAGATCGGTCTCCACATACAGCCAATCATCGCCGATGCGTCGGCGATGCGGCGCGATCCTGCGAACCGACCTCCTGCGACCCTATCTGGGAGGCCTCGACACATGCACCGATCCTGGGCTCAGGATTGGCCAGCATGGGCGCTCCCAGAAAAGAGCAGCAGGGGCATGTCGACTCCTGTCCCCGACCCCGCGGGGTTTTCGAAGGGACCGAGAAGTTGGGGGCCCAACTCGGGGATATACGATAAGGGGGGCGTTCGTCCTCGTGGGTCCGAATGACCCCTCAGGGGGTATACAGTGCGGGCGCGGCCGCAAGAAACCCTCGCAAGGAAACTCAACCCTGAACTCCCGCGCGCGAGGCGCACCCGGGGAGAAACCCGGAGCACCCGGAAGGCAGCAGCTTCTTCCACGGCTGCGGGAAGTCACCGCGCAGCGCGCGGGGCGAAGAAACCCAGGCCACCCTGACGAAAAGCGAATGTTGTCTCGATGCGCGCCCCCACTGTGTCCCCGAGTTTCCCTCCATTTCAGAACGGGCCGACTTGTCGCTGTGAAGTCGGGGGTTTGGGGGCGAGAGTCTGCGGCCACCCCGGGGGGGCAATGAGAAGGGCCCGGTCTTGGCAGAAGGCTCGGGAGCTCCCCCCCCCCCGGCCTGCTGAGACGACTGCTGGGCCTTCTCCGAAGACGCGGGACACCTCTCAGAAGGCCAGGGTCCTTGTGAGGAGCCCCGCCGCCTTCTGAGGAGGCCTTTTCCCTCTCATTTGGGCGACGGCCCAAAAAAAAAACGGGGCCGTCGGCGCCGACATCGGCTCGCAAGCTGCCCGCGCAAGGGCGCGCAAGGGCGCGCGTGAGCGCCCTCGTCTCCAACGGGGCGTGCCGCGCTGGCGGCCCGCGACAGCCACCGCGTAAGGTCGCAGCGCCATCTCGCGTAAGACCCCTTTTGAGATCGTCGCTCATTTCCCCCCCCCCAGTGCGTATCGTTTCACCGATCCCCATCCCCAGCGGCGTGGCCGGGGCCCCACTGGCCGATTTGCCCCCCTAGATGAGGATATAGGTCGTCCCCTTCGGGCTTCGAGGGGCGCATCCCCAACTGGGGGGGCACTTTGGTGGGGGCCTCGAAGGGGATGGGGACGGGGATGGGGGTCGGATCAACGATACCGACCCATCTCGCCCGCCGCCAGTGTTATGTCGGGCGTGTCCCCCTACAGGGGGATTTTCGACGAAAAATTTAAGATACCCCCCAAATACCCCAAACATGCAAAACAAAAAAAACAACAAATAATCCCCATACTATGTTTGGACTATGTTTTGACTATTTTGAGGGTATTCTCTATATTTCGTCGCAAATCCCCCTGGAAGGGGACAGGCCCGGCTTAACGCCGGTGGGAAATCGGCCCCGCGAAGGGCGGCGAAGGGGGCGGCGGTCGAGCGACCGAGCGGGCGCCCGCGACGGGCGGCCGCGCGGCGAGCGGTGCGGGGCAGGGGCGCGCGCCCGACCGCGGGGCGCGGGCGGGCAGGCTCCTCCTCCTCCTCCTCCTCCTCCTCCTCCTCCTCCTCCTCCTCCTCCTCCTCCTCCTCCTCCTCCGCCTCCGCCTCCCCCTCCTCCTCCGCCTCCTCCTCCGCCTCCGCCTCCGCCTCCTCCGCCTCCTCCGCCTCCGCCTCCGCCTCCGCCTCCTCCGCCTCCGCCTCCGCCTCCGCCTCCTCCTCCTCCTCGCCGTGGCCCAGCGACGATAAGGGCGAATAGCCCGGGGGCGGGCATCCCACGCCTTCGCCCGGGAGCCATTGTGGAAGACAGAGGTCATCGGCGCCCCTGAATACATGTTCTGCTCTCCCCTGGGCTCTTCGCCCCTGTCGTCGCCTCTGAGAGATGGGGGCAGGAGGCGGCCCGCCCCTCCCGGCGAGGGCGCACGGAGCGGGCCGGCACGAGTCCCTGAGCAAGACGAAGCCAAGAGGAAGATAACGTCGGACGAAGACGAATCGAGAATCTCTGAGATCCGGCGGGCGGCTCCGCAGGATGCCTCGGGCGCCGCGGCCTTCTCAGAGCGACCCAGAACGATCAGAGGATGTGCCGGAACGCTCTGGAACGGCTCTATCATCGTCGTAGACCCATCTGGCGAGGGCTTGACGACTTTTCGCGAATGGGCTTGTGGGGACCAAGACGGATAACTCAACTGCAGTCCAATCGAAGTGAACCCATGCACATCCGGGCAAATCCTAACAATTCCGAATACATCCACAGGTCTCCAGATAAATGTGGAGCAGAGCGTGGCCGCTCCACCGCGAGTCTAGGGACGGCAGAACTCTTTAAACTCTGAATGGGTGAGGGGGGGGGCATGCACGCTCGACAGATGAGGACGGGTGGCCCGCGGCTGCATGCTGGCTGCTTGAACCCCCGCTTGCGCCATCTGCGCCTCTCTGGTGTGCATGCCGACCATGGAAGCACCCACTCGGCACGGGGGACGTTACCAGCCTCGAACGTATCCCTATCCCTAAGATTGACACGCCAGAAGGCGATGACAATCTTAGGGATTCGCCCTCAAAAAATAAGGTAATCCCTAAGATTGGCATCGTGATGAGGAGATGCCCAGCATAGGGATAGGGATATGTTCCAGGCTGGTAAGCACTGCAAGGAAATGGGCCGACCCGACCTCGTTTCGACAGCCGTGCGCGCGCGGTCCGGGCCCTCGTCGCTCAGCGGGGGCCAGCGGCGGTGGCCACGGGCACAGGCTGGGCGGCCCGAGAGGCGAGAGAGACACCCGTGCCAACAGAGGGGGAGGAGGAGGAGGAGGAGGAGGAGGAGGAGGAGGAGGAGGAGGAGGAGGAGGAGGAGGAGGAGGAGGAGGCGTATGAGACGACGGGGAGGGGGAAGGACGGCGCACGTGTCTCCTCGTAGTAGGCGTCCCCCCACTTGTCGAACGCCCCCGCGAAGCGCTCCCTGGTCTCGGGGCTCACGGCCAGCAGGTGCCGCGGCTGCAGCTTGAGCATGCGGCCCGCTGTTTCGCACTGGAACAAGCCCGCGGGGGGTCACCGGGCCCCTGCAAGCGCACAGGACGATCAGCTGAGGCTTGTCGCCGCCATCTACAATATGGAGAAGGGCAACTACCTACCCCCACCTTGTCCTTCTCGGACCCCCCTGTGCGTTTCCTCTCCCCTCCCCCTCTCCATGCAACCGCGTCCCCATCTGCTGCGACAGTTCAGGATTGCGAAAACCAAGGGTCGGCGCGAACATAAGCGCTAGCAAAGCTGGCAGCACCCGAAGGTCTTCCAAAGCGTTCCCCAACCCAAGTACTAACTGGGCACTGCGCTGATGAATTTCGGAGGTCCCCGCCTGGTCCGCCGAGACAACCACGCCCTGAGCCATGCCCTCTTCCTGCTTGGGCCAGATATCGGTGCGCCCCCTCGGCTGCACAATGGCTCCAGGCGCGAGACCGCTCCGCCGGAGGACCACTTCGCTGGACGAACGCTTCGCCCCGGGCCGCTTCGCCGGCAGACTGCTTTTGCCCGCCTTAGCGGGCGGGCCGGGCGGGCGCGGCATCAAAACGGGCGGGTGGGCTCCCAAGAGAAAGGGAGAGCAGGCCCTGACGGGCCGGGCGGGCGGAGCCTGAGGGGGCGGGTCGGGCGG